GGACTGATGGGAGGGATTTCAAGTACAGCCCAAGAGAAGTTGTCAGATTGGTGTAAATCACCCATTACCTTACCCGACGAGTCGGCCAGACGATCGGCTTAAAGGTCGTCTCCAGTTTTGGTGATGGAGAAGACTCGTCATCAACAAAACTAAGAATTTTTGAACTTTATGAGCTTTCCGATAGCAGTTTCCCTTTTACTCTGTATATGCCACACAAATTATCTCCCTGTGCTGCTTTCTATATATCAAGGGATAGATAATATGCCAAAGGTTTCAAGTTTAATAACTGTTTCCCGTGCAAAAAAAAAGATTATCTACATCAATGCTAGTTTAAGGAGTTTTCATGGAGCTAATCAAGACTGAAAAGGTGTTATTTTACAAAGCAGTTGTGCTGCACAAAGCAATCCTTCCGTCAGTAATGATTGGTGCCTATTGTCTTGTGCAAATATGCACATGTTGCAAACGATGGACCGTGCTGAGAAGGGAAGAAGGCATACGAAGAGCTAATTGTATGCCTGTGTGGAGAAAAAGTATAGTAGCAACGTCACATGAAAAGATTGGTGTTCTTTAAAACGCCATTTTTAATTTAAATACACACTAAGAAATAAAGGTACAGTTCTGCCACAATAGGAACATTTTTCTGATGCCACATCCCATGTCGTCCTACGTGCCAATTTGTTGACTTGTTTGTATTTTTAAACAAAATTTAGTCAGTTTGTTTTAATTTGTATGATTCACACACTGCACAATATTGTTTCTGTTTTATATTCATGATCAAAATTCTGGACAGAAATATAGCTGTTTGAACGCAGCCTTAAAGGTACTATGTCCCTTTTGCAGCCAACCTCAAATGCTGTAGAACTTCGCAGGAATTATGAATATGGTCATTTATGTCCTATCTGTGAAATTTAAACGTTAGCAGTGTCCTCATATTCAAATTATGCAAGGAAACCTGTTTACTTGCTAGACTTCACTGTCAAACACTATTGAGTGACTGACTGGCTTTTTTTCTTCTTTGGTAATAACATACATGAAAAGAGTTGGAAAGGGTACATGAGCATTTGTCTACATCAATAACCCACTTCTTGTGATGGCCAAGATTAAACTGATTGAATCTTTGTGCAGCATAAAACGTATGAACATTCGGTAAAATTGTCTGAAAATCAAGACTATTACTTTTGGGCTCTATAGCCCTAAAGTCGATTTGACAACTAATAGTCATTATTTTCCCACTTGAAGACATTTTCAAGCCCCACCTGTTTTTAGGGAAGTTCTAAATTAGTATTATCTTTCAAATGCAGTTGGAATTTAACTTTTTCATTTTGTTGGCCTGCAAATGGGACATAGTACCTTTAAGTCCCCTTTCACAAAACTTGTCATCAGTGATAAATGGAAGTTTTTGATATCAACTAGTGAAATACTTGCTTCTGATTGGTTATCAGTAGATTTGTCACTGATTTTGTAATTTCTCATTGAAAAAAAGGGTTTTGTGAAACGGGTCCCTCGACTCAACGTTGACTTGAACAGGTGAAATGGTCAAAGCATGAATCGCAACTCCCTGACCAAACACTATTCGTGAACGCACAAAGGCGCCGCTACCATGGCCTTGGCGCCTTCGTGGTACCAAACCACGTGATCATAATATTATGCGCGCGCTGCGTTTGTAACGCCATTTCTAACGTGCGTGTATGAATGTGTTTATTTGTTGGTTAACTGCGATGCTTATAAAAAAGTAAATCTTCGTTTGCAGTATTGGACTTAGGCATACGCGAGCGCGCATGTGTGTGCATTGTGTTCATAGCAGTTTAGGAGGAAAAGGGATAAATTCAAAGTTTATAATCATTGGACTTGGCAGGCGCGCGCTTGTGTTCAGCAAAAGGGAAGAAGTATTAAAGAAGTCATGAGTTTAATTCTGCACTGGAGGCGCTTGAGGCATTCAGGTGCGGGATATAGTTTTTTGAACTTGAACCAGTTGCATCTGAGAGAAGAGTCCCTTTAACATGGCATGTTAGAGGAACTCCAATCTGCACGAACATTCAGCGAAATCGTCGCGAGACCACATTCCTCCCATAGTACATGCGCCTACGCATCCCCTATGGTTTGACGACAGGGAATTCAACCGGCGCGCAACCTTTATTCAGTCGCCCAACTCCGGGAGACTCTACTCCCATGCAATAGGTGTAGGGGTAGTGCGTCTTCTCCGTAAATTGTCATTTTAGTCCTAAGTAATTTGGTCGAATTGTCTCACGTTCTTCAGGTCAATATAATGTCGTCGTCAATATTTTGCCCAATAACCATTTTGTCAAATTATCGTGTTCAATCATCATTAATTTGTCCGATGGCCAAGTTAAAACCAATCGAAGCATTCCGCCCAAGGACCCTTACATCCGTACCATTCACATTCTGTTCAACATGGACATGCATGCCTCTGGTTAAAATACCATTTGGTATCGAACCCAGTTAATGTCATTCGGTCTAATAACAATTTCGGCGAAAACCGTTTCGTCTACTTTACTATAATAGCTATGGGCTGGAGCGGGTTTAGTTGCTAGCTATTCTACGAGCTGAAGTTTGGTTTTGGCTATAGACAGGTGGGGGGGGGGGGGGCGTTGCATGCTTTTGTTCTATGATCACGATAAAAAGGGGCGGGTTTCGTTGCGTGCTACGGTGCCCCTTTCGTGTGACTCGTCTTAGATTGAAATTGAAAGTTGATGGAGATGGGTGGGTTGGTTTATTGATAGGGAGGCAGTTTCTGAATTGTGTCTACTGACATTGTAAACAGCACGACTATAGGAAGATGATCTACTTTGAAATGTCTTCAAGTCGATTGATGGGCGGAAGACAGGATGTTATGTCAGTATAGGAAATCGGGAGCATCTCTTTCGAACCTGAGCTGTCTAAAGATATTAATTCGTTTTAAACATGTCTGTCTATAGTATCACGTGTCTTATCCAGTATTTTAGTTTCTTATCATCTCCTTATTAATTCCTATTTCATGCTGTATCAAAAGAAAATGCTTTATTAGAGAAAGTAAAGACAGGTGAACTAAACAAAGGGGCAATAATCGCCTGTCATTTTTGTTCCAAACTGATGTATGGTTGTTTCTTTGGCACTCTTAAATCGTATTTATTTTGACATGTTTATTCAACGTGTGCATGGCATGTTCAAAATGGGTCAGACAAACCACCTTTATGTAAATACTCGTTGATGACAATTTAAACATCTCTTTTTTTTCTTCTCCCGTTTCTTTCTCCCGACGTGAACATGTGAAATTTGTTTCATCATGCACGTGCAAGCAGGCTACATGTTTTGCATACCTGTGAACATTGCCATGGTTACAAGTTCAATTTTAGTTTATTTGTCTCGAGAAACCAGTGGACATGCGAAAAAGTTCCCACACACATCACACTTTTGAAGTAGACATTTTCTCACATCACATCAGCCGCTTCAGTATGACGTTGTACAAATCTGATTTAATTTACGTTGGAACGTAATGTTTTTCACAAATATATCTGCACAATTGACGTTAAAATTAAAAATGGTCAACGATGTTCTCATATTTATGACAATATATTTTGTTATTAAATATATTTGTGGCTTCCACCCAGTAAATAAGATCGATTGATCGATCTGTATCAATAAGGAAGCATTACATTTATAAAATATATTTTGTGTTCTAAAAATGTATATGCTGAAACGGTATACGGTGACAAATCAGGGCCCCGTTGCAAAAAAAAACTTACCATTGATGGTAACTTTGCCATCAATGGTAACTACCATGGAAACCTTGATTTTGATTGGCTGTTGAGCCCTGTGAAGTTGTCTTTGATGGCAAAGTTACCATCAATGATAAGTTTTATGCAACAGGGCCGAGGTTCATATTGTCCTGTCTTTCACCGTGAATTTTGGAACACGTTTGTAATTTTCCCGGAGATTGAACAGGTGTGCTTATCTATACCAGATTTGTGGCAACTGTTGTTCTGTTTTGCAGATGTAATCGAGTCACGTACTTTATTGGTAGACGTGGAAATCTTCAGAAGTTTAAAGATAAAGTTGAGTGCTCGATCATTATGCATGCTGTTCTGATTGTGAAAGAACAAGGAAGGAGCAATGAAGAAAGTTTGATTATTTAGTACATAATTAGTAATATACTGTTAACAACTATTAATTGTTTCATATTTCCCTTACCACGGTTTCTAATGTTGAAGTACTCGGAAAAAAAATGGTACCGATTTATGTTTCTTGATAATGAGATATCTTTAAGCCTACATCTTAAAGTACAGTATTCAGCAAAGGACCTAATTCAACCAGTCCATTTGCCATGCTTGATGTTTCTTGCATTAAAACGTTTTAGCTATACTAGTTTAATTCAAAACGTTTTGATTGTTTATAACATAGATGAATGTGTGTCACATCAAGATTTGAATGAAGAGAGAGTTGCATGAAATTCTTTTCATCGCAACCTTAGGTACGTTAGGAATTCTCCCCCGCATCGCCCGTTGATATCATTATCATAACTCGTTTGACATGGACTGAGATTAAAAGGGACTAATGTATTACATTCACTTGCACTTTCCTTTTCTCAGATCTACCAACCCCCCCCCCCCCCAATTTCTGTATGTCTGTTTGTCTGTATCTGCCCCTGTCTCCCCTCTCTCTCTTTCTTCCTTCATCCCCTTAAAGTTATTATGTCCCATGTGCAGGTTTAAAAAATGAAAAGGTTAAATTCCAACGCATTTGAAAGACAATACGTATTTGGAACTTCCCTCAAAACGAGAGGGTTTGAAAATGGCTTTTTGTGGGAAAACAACGACCATTAGTTGTCGAATCGACAACAATGATTGCAATCACCTAAGTAATAGTCTGATTTTCAGACCCTTGTACTGAATGGTCGTACGTTTTTTCACCTCTCCCCAGAACTCAACCTTCTCTTTAATTCTTCAAGTAACAATACCAGTGATATATACTCATCAAATGATCTTCTTTGTCTCTTTGTACAGCTATGCAGGAAGCCTATATGATGCACTTTACGCAATGTCATGATGACAGCCTAGAAGATACGCTACTAAGAAAATTCTGCAACTCCGATTTCGGTAACTATAATACATCCGTCATGTTCTTATTTCATACTTGTTCGTACAAGAATAAGTCTTTTATTTGCTATGTGCATGAAAAATAATCGCACTGATCGTCCCAATGTTTTCTTCTTTGTTTTAAGCCAAATTGGGTTAATAATACAACTAAAAGTTTTCCCCTAATCACGTTCAGTCACAATGAGTGACATTTGATTGGGTGATTAGGATTAAAGAGAATATACTCTTTAAAATGTTCAGGAGTCACATTTAGGATGCCTTCGTTTGGATCGGAATTCACATTTAGAATTTATCGTTAAATACCAATACTTCGGAGTTGACTTTACTATAGCCTGGGTGGATTTATGTCTCAAGATTTTGGAATCCATTCTCAAAAGAATAATTCAAACCTCTACCTTAGATTTCATTTCACTATAATTTTGGAGTTGGCTTGACTAAAATCGGTACTATGTCCCATTCGCAGGCCCCCAAAACACGAAAATGTAAAATGGAAAAATGGGAAAAAAGATGTCAGTCAGTCCGTCAGTCACTCATTAATGTATGACAGTGAAGTCTAGAAGGTAGCCAGGCTTCCTTGCATAATTTGAATACTAGGACACTGCTAATGTTTAAATTTCACAGATGGGACATACATGACATATTCATAATTCCTGCAAAGTTCTAAGAGTTTGATGTTAGCTGCAACAGGGACATAGTACCTTTAAGAGAGCAATGGGTTTGGAAAGTAGACTAAATGTCATCACGCCCTCAACCCAAACTAGTTCTTTTTGTCGGCATAGCTGACATTTTGTTTTACCAACTCGAACCCACTGCTTATTATCACAATAAACACAATCCACGCTCAGGCATTTCACAATCACAACAAAATCATTGCCATGGAGATTTAAGGCCCCATTTAGAGGGGATTTATTCGTAAAAACAGCCAATTATCGGCAAAAATAACTGACCCATTTTCCGTCTATGTGTGCTTAGCTAACCTCAAAATGACATTGGCAAAGATCGATGGGCTTTGTCTGGGAAAAGTGCCGACCGGAAAATGCATCTTACTTTTACTCCTAACAAATAATTCAGTTTAAAGGTATGGTAGTGTGGATGTCAGAAAAAGGAAATAACTGTTCATCATGAACGGTTCATTATTTCATTATGACGTATTTATTACAAATGAAAGTAGAAGTATCCGAGAGAAGTATGGATACATTCGTTTTAAAAATCTCCGAATCGGCCAACCTGAAAATACGTCTGGTTTTTAAAATCCATCTCACCTTTACTCCCGACAAATAAATCATTTTAAAGGTATGGTAGTGTGAATGCCATAAGATGAATTTTTTTTTTGGTTGAATTATTGATGTTTTTCCTTCTCAACTTGATATCGGTGTTCAGATGCTATTTCCCCCTCCCATCAGCTAAAAAAATAACATTCTCACCAAGGAAAAAATTATTCCAATTGTATGGGAAAAAGTGTATTATCTTAACCCTATATAGTCCGGAGGGGGGCTATAGAACCCCCCCCCCCCCCTCGACATTTTTCGCGATAATTTTTTAACGCAAGAAAATCTTGCACTGACATTTTGTGACTTTTTTCTTTCAAGTCTTGCGCATCTTTTGAATTTTTTTTTCTCGAAAATCGGACCTATCATTACAAAGTCATGTGTCCTTTTTTCTTTGCATGTCAGCCCGAAAATCGCTCATTTTTCGTGATTTGTGTACAAAACCTATGGAAATCTCATTTTTCAAATAAAGAGATAAAACATTGGTTATTTGGTCTTGTTTATAGTTTAGGTGTTTATTTTGGGGTCAAAATAGTTAAATTATAGTTGGAAATGAAATAAAACAACAAAAACTATAAAATACATAAGTTAAAAAAACAGTGAAATACATAAGAAATTATCAAAACAATAGATAACATAAGGAATAACCCTGGTTATGTTGATCTCGGGTTAAGTTGTGTTGTATTATTATTTCACATAGTCTAACAGATATATGTAGTGAAAAAGAATGCTTAAATATGAATAATGTCTGATTTATGGGCAAAAATGTGAATTTTATGACCTTATTTACATAAATTACCATAAATATGCAAATGATTTTTTTCAAAAAATTAAAAATGAAATTACCTTAGTATTCTATACACTTCACTTGACATGATTTTTCATTTAATTACTTTTGTAAACATTGTATTCATTGTATTTGTTATTGTTCGAAATTTTGTACTTTGACTTTGAATTTGTATATTTTTGAACGCAGAAATAAAAGCAATCAAACAAACAAACAAACAAACATGTATGCAAATTTTTGCGGCGATCGATTGTTTCACGGCCGAGATCATAGTGGGGGGGGGGGGCCTTAAGAACCCCCCCCCCGGGCTATGCAGTTTCAAAATAGCCCGGGCTAAATAGGGTTAAACCGCTTTCATTTATTTTTATATTTAAATCAAGTTACATTGTATTATGTTTTCCAGTGTCCAAGACAACACCGACAAAGGTCGTATAATGTCAAGCAAAATGTCGGGTCATGGTTCTGTTGATCCCGTTATGCTAACCCTCCTTTTCTCTGTTCTCTTTAATCCTGTCCAGTTTTGAAAGTGAAAATCAAGACGATTCGTGAATCCAAAGACGGCAAGAAGTACATTGGGGACCCCAACCCTGAGAAGCTGGAAGTCCTGAAGCAAGGTTCATTGAAGACCAAAGATCTTCAAAGACTCACTTTCTATGTACGAGAGGGCGCTAACTGCCAATGTGACATGCTAGAACGCAGTGGAAATTACCTCCTCGTCATGGGCCACAGGGACAGCAAAAAGAACCGGAAGCTATTCATGACCTTTGTCCACAGCTGGGAGAAGACACGTGACTTCCGGCGCGCGATCAAGGGGTTCGAGAACCCGGACATGTGCGAGAACTTGGAGACGGCGACGGAAGGGAGACGCGAGGAAATCGCCCCGCAGGACGCAGAGCCGCATGAGATGACACCGGCCGATGAGGTTCTGTTGGCGAGTCAGACCAACACACCGGTTAACGATGGCGTATATACAACCCACCAGGTCATGGCCGACGAGACGCCCTCTCCGAAGACCAACACAAGACGGGAAAGGAAACGAGGAAAGCGCACTCGCGATCGCCCACGGAAAAACCGCGAGCGGGAAAACAGGGAGATGCCTGTCAGGAGAGCTAGATCTAAATGGGATTAAAGATCAAAGATCGCACCTTGAACTTTGTGGAATCTGTAAGGTCCGTCCTTACACGATCTAGCGCCCCCTTCCTTCACAAAATAGAGTGGAACGCGGATGAAGAAATGAGAAGAGTAGGATCTAAATCCATTTTCTGTGCATGGGCACTTTGTATTCAGTCCCATTAACTGATATCGATGTCTTTTCGACCCGTAATGTAATCTCAATTCAAATAAATGAGTGTCCTTTTATGTTGTTGAAAGACAAATTACCCCCAAAATTACAACCTAATGATAAACTGTGATTAAACGTTATTTAAGGAGAGCTACCGTTTTGTTTCTACACTGTAGCTAATTTTGAGCTTAGTAAAAAAAGAATAGCGAGGACAACAGAATGTAGGCCTATGTTAGGTAATGTGTGTGAAAAACAAAACGACAACAAAACTTGTTTCATGTGTGCTATGCGCTAGAGGTGATTACACATAATAAAGCCATCTTACATATACATGATTTGTATAAGCCTTTGTAATTCTTGTGTTATGTCATGTCATAATTATAAGGTAGCTCGTAGATATAATCTGCGCATGGGCAGATAAAGGTCATTTGTACCATAGTTGTAAAACCCATGGAGACGGATACGGGATATGTGTTCATGAAAAGTATGTAACCATTATTCATTTATTCACTAACGGCACATTCTCTGACAAACGGGAGGAAACGTTGTTTTAACGAGGAATAAATGGTATTCACGAAGCACCTCCATTACTTTGGCAGTGAGTATTCTAAAATGCACAAATGGGACATCTCCATTTATAAAAGATCTGTGAATATTTGGGACTCATAATAGCCTAGGCTAACTACGAACTGGTCTATCAAAAGAACGCTAACAACAGCAGAATATATCAGTATTTAATTACCACCATTCATCAGTTACATATCAATTTAGTCATCATCTTTGTCAGAAACGCGGGTTAGTTCTTTCATTCTATCAGTGGACAAATTACTGGTTACGGCAAGCCTACTTCAGATCTATGTCGTAGCTGGCGCTGTTGATGTTGCAGTTTAACGATCATCAACATCATTAATATGTGTTATTACTTGTGTACTGGCATAATAATAATATTACGGAGTCCATTTATAATGCTTTCAAGTCGATTAATTGCGTATCCTGATCAGATTATTTGGATTTGAATATTCCTCCTATGTTAATTATATATTCTTGAATGTATAACTGCGGTTCAGAAATCCTGTACACACTGCATGTACTTGATTGATAGGTTCTTGAATTTACCCCGAGTATTTTTGTAATAAAGTTTTGATACGATGTAATTAGCAAAACAGTTATTCTCCTTATATGGACTTGTAGATTATGTGCATAACAAAAAGAAGCAAATAGTTTGTTTAAAAAATATTAGAAATTTCACATACAGTCCAATATGAAAGATGAAGTTGAGTTCTGGGCATGCGATTGGATTGGAAATGGTTGGAAAAGATTGATTATGTATCGCACAAGAAGTTGTGTATATTTAGAGGCTTTGAAATCATTAACATTGAGAAATTAACTCTCTCTTGCTCAGAGTCCATGCACTGCACACAAAAATATGTGTATGGAACTACACAAACATGAGCCATGAAAATTTGGTCCAGGAATTTCTTGTCATTACGAATATGATGGTTTTTGAAGAGCAATATCTATTAGGAGATATTTTTTTTCCTTATTAACATAAAAAAATTGTAAAAGCTCACAAATTACTTTTCAAAATTCACAGGAGGCAACGTTAAATTAGAGTTAATGGCGCTCTCGTTGACATTTCGTCTAAGTGCATTGTATTCAACAGTTTACAAACCATTCATTACTAGAAGTGGCAAAATTGTGTATGTATCTTTATGCTTTTATCATGTAAATATAAATAAAAACGCCGCCGAGATTTCATGTTAAAAATTATTATGCAAAGTGTTCAGTTAAAACTGCACAATGTGGTTGTACGTTATGTATTTGTTTTATATATTGTGAATACGGTATAATTGTTTTGAAAGCACTGTGACTCCCTGCAGAAAATGACAAAAATATTCTGACGTAACCGTTTGACTTTCTGGCAACGCCCGTTCACGTGATGCGTAATTTCGAAATTGCGTCATAATACATGTAGAATGATGATAATAATCATAATAAATCTGTGTTTATTTAGCCCTTAATTTGGAATACCGTCTCTAAGAGCCTTATTATTACCCCGGTCGTCGGGATTCATTCACGCACTCAGTGTGCACCATCTCCACTCCCTGGGGATTATTCCTAAAATTGCGGTTGTCAAATTGTGTAAATAATATCCACATAACTTACAAGGTTTTCAATGTACAGTCTGACAACTCTTTGTAAAATATACACAGGGAATAGAAGGAGTCAACAGTCCTTCTTGAATTCTTATTTCTTCTGCTTCTTATTTGGGATTTTCAATACATTTCTAGCTGCGACGTTGTGTGTTTCTTGTAGGATAGATGTAAATAGTTACACTTATTATACCAAATAAAAACAATCAGAAACTGACAATCGGGCTTGTTATTGATACAGTATATACAGTGATGGGTGTAAACTTGAGAAAATATTGATGATGATTATGGTGGTGGTGGTGGTATTGATGATGATGATGAGGATGAGGATGATGACGAAGGTTAATGGTACTGATAGTGCTAATTATGACGGTGATCGTGATGATGATAATGATTGTGATGATGGTGATCACGTTGATGATGATAATGTTGATGATTATGGTGATGATGATAATGATGATGATGATGGTAATTATAGTGATGATCATGATGGTGGTGATGATAATGTTGATGATGGTGATGATGATGACGATGATGGTAATGATAGTGATGATGATGATGGTGGTGATGATAATGTTGATGATGGTGATGATGATGATGGTAATGATGGTGATGATGATGATGGTGATGATGATAATGTTGATGATAGTGATGATGATGATGATGGTAATGATAGTGATGATGATGATGGTGGTGATGATAATGTTGATGATGGTGATGATGATGATGATGATGATGGTAATGATGGTGATGATGATGATGGTGGTGATGATAATGTTGATGATGGTGATGATGATGATGATGGTGGTGATGATGGTGATGATGATGATGGTGGTGATGATAATGTTGATGATGGTGATGATGATGATGGTGGTAATGATGGTGATGATGATGATGGTGGTGATGATAATGTTGAGGATGATGGTGGTGATGATAATGTTGAGGATGATGGTGGTGATGATAATGTTGAGGATGATGGTGGTGATGATAATGTTGAGGATGATGGTGATGATGATAATGTTGTGTGATCTTAATGTGGCGTAACCGGGCTCTGTCGGGATAGCGTTCTGCCTTGCAGTCTCTCAAAACCTGGTTCACGCTCTCGACAATCATTCATCAACTTTATCTCTCATTGGGCTCTCACAAAAGTATATCGTGAAAGAAAAACATGGACTAGCTCTCATTCACTTACTCCCGCAATCACTGAATGTCTGACAGGACTAAAGAAACAACACTTGCACAGTATCTGCAGTACAGGTCTATGGTACAAGTAACTTTACTCGTTCCTGGCAACGGACATGTCGCAACGACAGGTCAACGCCGACTCCTGACATATCACGATGTCCACATATTAACTATAACGCCCTCTACGTCTTACTAAATTACTGGGCTATTTATGCTACACTATGATCATCATCATCATCTTTTAACATCATCTTCATCACTATCATCATTCTCTTCTTTTTCTTTACGTGCCATATCATGAGACATTGGCGACCATGGAATGCCACAACTCTCTGTCTCATATTCTATAAAGTAATCCATACTCCCGAGATCGATTCCACTTTCAAAAATCCTCCTTCTATATATATACCCCTACTCCAAACCACTCTTTCGAATAACATGAACCAAGAAGCTCAGCTGTCGACCTCATCACTATCATCATCTTTGTGACAGCATCATCAGTATTATCACCACCATCATAAACATCACCACGACCACCATCATCACCAACATCATGATCATTGCAGTATTAGCTTTTTAACTTTTTTGTTTGTTATGCATTGTATTGCTTTTGATCAATTATTATTAGTAGTATTATGAATTTTAAAGGCCCACTGCACTACTTGTAGCTACTTGCGCCCACTATATAACAACCCATGCCTAATCGGTGACCGTTGGTCCCCCGTGATCCTCTTTTTCTTATGTTAACTGAGAGCTGAGTTGATGAGATAACCACCTGTCCAGTAACCTTGCAGGGTAGTCTAATCCCTCCTGTAAACTATGGCAGATACGCTTTAATAGATTTTTAAAATGTAAATAATATATAGTGATAGATTTTAAATAGCTACGCATGAATAATATTAAATGTTACCAATACTATTTAAATGAATGATTGTAACAAATGAAATATAATGTTATGTAATGAAGCTCATGTATATGTAAACATGCACAATTCAGCATTTTGGCTGCGAGGCATTGTTTTTTTAATAAAACCATTATTGAATTGACTTGAAATTCATGACCATTATCATGATCATCATAATCAGCACTTTCATCACCATTATTATTATTATTGTTATCACAATTATCATCACCATCACCTAGACCATCATCTATATTTCTCAGATTCACACCCATCACTGTAATAACATGACCCGTACTGAACCTAGGACAAGCCCAAATGATCGTCAGTTTCTGATCATCACCATGCACCACCAACACTATCTTCACCATCGTCATCGCCACCAACATCATCATTAACGTGATCACCATCATTACAATCATTATCATCACCATCGTCATCGCCACCAACATCATCACCATTACCATCACCATCATCATCAACGTGATCACCATCATTACAATCATTATCATCACCATTGTCATCGCCACCAACATCATTACCATCGTCATCGCCACCAACATCACCATCACCATAATCATCAACGTGATCACCATCATTACAATCATTATCATCACCATCGTCATCGCCACCAACATCATCATCACCATCGTCACCAACATCATTACCATCATCACCATTGTCATCGCCACCAACATCATTACCATCGTCATCGCCACCAACATCACCATTACCATCACCATAATCATCAACGTGATCACCATCATTACAATCATTATCATCACCATCGTCATCGCCCCCAACATCATTACCATCATCATCACCATCGTCATCGCCACCAACATCATTACCATCATCACCATCGTCATCACCATAATCATCAACGTGATCACCATCATCACAATCATTATCATCACCATCGTCATCGCCCCCAACATCATTACCATCATCATCACCATCGTCATCGCCACCAACATCATTACCATCATCATCACCATCGTCATCGCCACCATCATCATCGTCATCGCCACCAACATCATCATTATCATCACCACCATAATCAACGTGGTCACCTTCATCACAATCATTATCATTACCATCATCATAACGATCACCGTCATGATTAGTACTATCATTACCATTAACCTTCGTCATCATCCTCATCATCAATACCACCACCACCACCACTATAATCATCATCTATATTTTCTCAAGCTTACACCCATCCCTTATATACTGTATCAAGGACAAGCCCGAACGATTGTCAGTTTCTGATTATTTTTATTTGGTATAATAAGTGTAACTATTTACATCTATCCTACAAGAAACACGCAACGTCGCAGCTAGAAATGTTTTGAAAATCCCAAATAATAATAAGAAGAAGAAGAAGAAATAAGAATTCAAGAAGGTTAATGATTCCTTCGATTCCCTGTGTATATTTTACAACGAGTTATGTCAGCCTGTACATTAAAAACCTGGTAAGTTATGTGGATATTATTTACACAATTTGACAACCGCAATTTTTAGGAATGCTCCACAGGGAGTGGAAATGGTGCACACTGTGCGTGAATGAATCTGATGACCAGGGTAATAATAAAGCGCTTAGAACCGGTATTCCATATTGTGAGGGCCAAACAAACACAGATTTATTATTATCATCATCATTCTAAATGACTGTATTATGACGTATCGTGTGGAACGGGCGTTGTCAGAAAGTCAAACGGTATATGAAATATACAAGTGTGTAAACGATGTACGTTTAAAGTGACAAAAAAGGGGAACAAAACTCCAAGACTAAAAAAAAAAAAAGTACATATTAATGATCAAAATGTATTGATACAGGTACATATATCTTTGTTTAAATGACAAAATTTCTTTACAATTAAAGATACAGGTACATATATTTTTTATAATAACAAATTTCTTTACAATAAAAATGGTTGGTAGAAAACAATGGCAATTTCCTAAAGTTTCCAATTTATTATTTGGGAAATTTAGACAGTGACCTTTATTAAAGGGAGATGGTCATCAGTTTCCATGTGCAGTAGGTCATAGTTCGCAGACACCGGACTTGGTGTAGAGATTATGGGTCTCACACACAGCAAACCCGTAGTCCCATCAAGAAATATGGAGTTACGTCTTTGTGTCACTAAACCCTCGATATGATACTATTCATGTACAGATTTATTAATATCTTTCTTTATTTACTTCTTCATTTTATTTACTGCCCCATCTGATTTAGGCTTGTCTTCACACACTGCATTCACATTCTTCACTTCCTAGGGAGCATTCCGGTCAGACCCAAAACCATGATAAGCTATAAATTCATGTTTTTTGCTAAAAAATATATATTTAGTGCATGTCCAAATAAACCAGATTTTATCCTGAGATTGCCAAAAGCGATTGGGCAGCTTAATTAAATTTCTAGATAAACAGATAACAATGAAATATATAATCCCTGAGTTACATACATGTATACCGGTATTCAAATGAATCTGAGTATGTTTAAAAGAGTAAAAATGTAAAAGAATGGTACCACAAAATGATACAAACACCTACACACTGTAGTTTGCATGAAAACATGTGTTTCTAACTTCCTAATAATATCTAAGAATTTATAAAAATTGGCAAAACTTGAGGTTACTTTGGCGACGAGCGAATACAATCTTGCAAGTAAGAGGATACCATAACTCATTTCTAATCTAAAGAAGACCCTGATATAATTTTTAATTAAGTAAATAATGAAATAAAGATATGTTATGACTCACAGCTTTCATATTTATCAAATAATAATAATACTGTGACATGATTTGTATTAAGTTTATGCTTGAAATAAGTAAAATATCTAGAAAATGCCGACACAAAACAAATTGTCCTCAATCTCATGGGTCTGGAAATACAGACTGTTCGATCTTTGGTGACTTTTCTATAGTAGACCGATGTACATACTTCTACAAATAATATTTATCATATTTACCAGGCATTACAACTTTATAAGAAATTATGCTTTTATATTAACGCCAAAAAGAACTGGGGGAGGGGGGGGGGCGTTTCACAAAGCCTTTTTTCAATGACAAATGACAAAAAATCAGTTACAAATCTGCTGATAACCAATCAGAAGCAAGGATTTCAGTAGCTTATAACAAAAACTGTCATTTGTCACTGATGACAAGTTTTGTGAAACGCCCCCCTGATCGGCGAAATAAGAGCTTGAAGATCAAGAAGTAATTGTTAAAATAAATTTTCAATTTTCATTTTCTTTGCTGCCCATAGACCAGCTTAACCCTTACTGTACTGGGGGGGGCCTGGGAGGCCCCCCCCTCGACATTTTGGAGATCGCGCCGCAACCGCTCGGAATTTTGAATTGTCGTTTCATGACTTTTTTCCTTCAAGTCTTACGCACATTTTGATACCATTTTCGTCGAAATCGGATATACCTGTAAGGTGTTACATAACAATTAGTATGCGCATGTCATCAAAAAAGTGCTATAATTGCATATATTCATGTACAAGCAGAAATGTGAAGATATGAATTGATATCAAATTGCTTTTATATGTTTCTCAGAGTAACTTGATGTATTTCAGAACAAAAGAATACATTAGAAATAAAACAATAGATATAATAACAAATAAAAAACAATGAAATACATAAGAAAATAAAAAGTTGAAAATCGCATCAAATTTGCATAAATTATCATTATTAATTACATCAAATAACTATTTTTTGTGTTAGAAAAGAAGTTTCATATGAATAATGAGTTTCAACATAACAAAAGTGGAGTCTGACAATTTTTGTAATGATTCTAGTTCCCTGTATATTACCAGATTAGATATTCATGATTGCGTAATTTGCGTATTCATAAATTATGCAAATTAACCTATGCATTTTCAAATATCATAAAAATAATGAAACCTCATGAATTTGAGATGAAGGAAACATTTATTCAATACATTTTTAAGATTCTTCACAAGTCTACGGACAAATATGTAGAGTTTTCTGTAAAATGCATAAAATTAGCATTTTGCATAATTAATTAGGCTATAACGACAAAAATTTGCATATTAGGAAAAAACTAATTATACCATCTTGTTCCTTACGTAAATATCTACAATCATGCAAATTTTCGCGTTCATCGGACATTCGACGGCCGAGATCATAGGGGGGGCCTCTGAGGCCCCCCCCCAGTCAGAGAGTGCTCAAAATAGCCCAGTACAGTAAGGGTTAAAGTTGCCTTGAGATCAGATGGCGTTCTAAAAAGATATGACAGGTTTGGAGTTGCAACAAGTCTGTTGACGGGAAGATGCAAAAACAGTTTTGTGAAACACTCAGCAGACAAGTCGAACAAAAGCATTGGGATGAAATTGATCTTGAAGTTATGACAGTTTCATGAAACAAGCCCCTGGTTCCAAACTGGGCCCGTTGCATAAAACTTACCATTGATGGTAACTTTGCCATCAATGGAAACTACCCAGAGCTGCCAACCTCCAGAACAGAAAATGAGTAACCATAAGGCTCAAAATCAGTAATTTTGGGAATAAATCAGTAATTTCCTATGCGGCGCCATGAATCTTAAAAGAATGGCAAGCGGACGCATGCGCGCATGATTATCTGAAATTTGTTGTGATTTTACTCCCGCAAAGTCGCTAAATATTGATTTTCAGTTCATCACAACACATAAGTTTTCAATGAAAGATTGGCTTCTATTAAGAGAATACTTGATAATTTTCCATCTTTCTCATGCAGCGAGTGCTGGATGGCCACCATACTGTACAGCACTTGCTACTATAGATCCCTATGCGTCAAAAAAAACAAAAAAAAAACATAATTTTTAGACAACATTCCGTACTGCCGTAATGGTTGTTAATTTCCGTACCAATTACGGGAAATCCGTACTAGTTGGCAGCTCTGACTACCATGGTAACAGGGCTCATCAGCCAATCAAGATCAAGGTTTACATGGTAGCTATCATTGATGACAAAGTTACCATCAATGGTAAGTTTTATGCAACAGGGCCCAGGACTAGATTCGGTCAATGCACACTTTTCACATGATTCTTAAGGCTGCACTTATAAGGAAAGCTCTCTGTACATTTGGGACACGGATGCGGCTGTGCACTGACTTGTCTCGTTAAATGCCTCCGAAGTTCCGTCTTTGAAACAAAACCTTTATCGCAATGTTGGCACCGAAACGGTCGCTCCCCGGTGTGCGTCATCACGTGTTCATTAAGAGTCTGCTTTGTTCCCAGCATCCTGCCACAAATGGAACACTGAAAGGACTTCTCACCCGTGTGCCTCTTACGATGCCTAGCAAGGTTAGACCCATTGTTGAATCTCATGCTGCAGTTGGGGCACTGGTGAGGTTTCTCTTGTAAGTGGATCTTCATGTGGTTAGTGAGGATGGTCTTCAGATGGAACCTCGCATCACACTCGGGACATTGGAAGGGCTTTTCACCCCTGTGGACTCTTTGGTGGTACCGCAAGGAAGCTTTCGAAAAAAATCGTTTTCCACATTCCCCACACTCGGGTAACTTTCCCTCTGCGTGAAACATCCGTCTATGAGAAACAAGGCAGCCCTTCGAAGAATAAGTTTTATCACAATCAGAGCAATGGTTACGCTCAACATCCGGGTGTATTCTCAAAGCGTGTTCACGTAGACTGCCCATTGTAGCAAATTTTTCATCACACTCTTTGCATTTGTGTGGCCCAGTGTCTTCACTATCGGTATGTATTCTCAAATGGTGATCCTCCAGGGAACCCTTTGTGAGGAATTTCCGACTGCATTCGGAACAATGATACAGACATTTTTCAGGGTGAAATCTCACGATGTGAGCATCGCAACTCCACTTGGCAGCGAACTTGATATCGCACAAGGAACAAGAAAAAGCCTTGACACCGGTATGTACTGTAAGCTTATGTCTCTCAAGGTTACTGGCATTGCTAAATGCTTTGTCGCATTGTGAGCATTTATAATTCTTTTCACCAGTGTGAGACGTCATGTGATCAGCCACCCCTGCCTTCCTTGCAAATTTCTTGCCACACTCCGGACACGCAAATCGTTTTTCTCTGGTATGCGTTCGTTTGTGTTGCAGAAGGATGGCCTTTGTCTTAAAACTTCCATTACATACAGCACACAAGTGAGACTTCATGTGTTTTGCAAGACGACCCTTTGACGTGAAAACCTTATCACACGTACCACACATAGACTTTTCTGTATGGCTCCTCATGTGCTCCGCAAAAAGAGCCTCTGACGTGAATCCCTCATCACACTTACCACACCGAAGCTTTTTCGTCTGGTGATACAGGAAATGTTTCGAGAGCTCTGATTTTGTGTAATATCTCTCAGGACACTTGGTGCACGAAAATGTTTCTTCACCACTTTGCGCTTGATCCTGTTGCAAGAGATCAGACTTGGTGAGTAACTTGGTGCACGAAAACGTTTCTTTGCCACTTTGCGCTCGAACCTGTTGCGCGAGATCGGACTCAGGACACTTGGTGCACAATAACATTTCTTCGCCACTTTGCGCTCGAACCTGTTGCGCGAGATCGGACTCAGGACACTTGGTGCACAATAACGTTTCTTCGCCACTTTGAGCTTGAACCTGTTGCGCGAGATCGGACTCAGGACACTTGGTGCACAATAACGTTTCTTCGCCACTTTGCGCTCGAACCTGTTGCGCGAGATCAGACTTGGTGAGTAACCCCCTGAGGAAGTGAGGGAACCTATGCGGCTTTCCATTGTGGATTCTCATGTGTACACTGACGAAGCACTTCTGACTGAAGGTCTTATTACAGACGGGACACTGATGTTTTTCTCCTTTCTGCATCTCTCCTTTAAACATCTCTCCTTTCTGCATCTCTCCTTTCTGCATCTCTCCTTTAAGCATCTCTCCTTTCTGCATCTCTCCTTTAAGCATCTCTCCTTGAAGCATCTCTCCTTTAAGCATCCCTTCTTTCTGCATCTCTCCTTTCTGCATCCCTCCTTTAAACATCTCTCCTTTATACATCTCTCCTTGAACCATATCTCCGTTATGCATCTCTCCTTTCTGCATCTCTCCTTTATGCAATCGCATATGTTTCGAAAGGCAACTATTTGCACGAAACTTTTTATCACACTCCGAACATTGAAACGGCTTCTCATCATTGTGCCTTCGCATGTGCACCGTGAGGGCACTCTTTCTCAAGAACCCGACACTACACACTGAGCAACCATGGGGCTTTTCCCCCGTGTGGTACTCCATGTGCTTCCTGAGGACACATTTGGAATGAAACTTCTTCTGACACTCCTCACACGTGTGAAGATTTTCCCCGTTGTGGTACCTCATGTGCAATTTTAGGTCACTTATACGAAGGAACCTTTTATCGCACTCTGGGCATGGAAACGGCTTCTGGATATCTTCCGTACGTTCAGTCCTTGCATCATGACGATCTTCACCATGTTCTTCAGTGGCTCTGGTGGTTCTTGTAAGACGGTCGACCAAGACCTCACATCGAGCTTCTGCAGGGTTGACTGTGTTAGAATAACGACCCTCCTCAGTCAAAGAGCCTACTCGTGCCTCTTCCTGACATTCGAGTGTGAGCAGTGGAGTGTTCAAAGTACTGATGACATCTGTCACAGAAAAGTAATGAATCGATTGTTAATTTGTTTCTATGTGTTAAAGGCCCTACTGCACTACTTATAGCTACTTGCGCCCTCTATATAGCAAACAATGCCTAATCTGTGCCTGTTGGTCCTCCATGATCCACCTTTTTCTAATGTTAATTGAGAACTGATTTGATGAGATAACCACCTGCCAGTGACCTTGCAGGGAGGTCTAATCCCCCTGGCCAAACTAGTACAGACAGGCTTTAAAGAATCAAATTTCTGTATCCATCGAATCACCATGATCACCTGCAAATTGCTGAATCAGATTTAACAAAACTTGGCTCAAATGTGTTATTTATAGGCAAACAAGTATGAAATGAATTCACCGGAGGTTTAATAGATGAAAGGTCAGAAGATCACAAAAGCGCACAATTATATCTCAGTAAACATTTTCATTACAACAAAACCTGAAGAACCATTGAGACAATTTGTACCAAATTTCTAGTAAGCCTGAAAGAATGAAGTCCTTAAATTCTGGGGTTATAGGTCAAAGTTCCCACCATCAAAGAGTCTGGATAAGAAAAAAATGTGACCATTTGTGAACTTATTTCAAACAATCTAGTTGTCAACAAATAGGTTCAAAATCACAGAAGGAACCATTTGAGGCTCCTTGAAATGACCTCTAGTAATGAAACTATCACTCTCTCTATGACGGCTATAGCTCCTATTGGATTTAAATGGTGTTAACGGATGTGGGGTAAAATACAAAGGGTGGTATTCTCGAAAGCAGAATTTCTTTTGTCTATGGTTAAATCCACCGACTAAGTATGGAATGACAAGTGTCCATATGAATATATTTTTGGACAATTTGATATGTTCCTAGATTACCATGATAACATAATTATATCATAGTTATATTGTTGTTTATTAATTATGTTATTACATTTTATTTTAATTTAGTGACAGATTAAATTATTCAGAAACATATTCATATGGACACTTGGCATTCCATACTCAGTCAGTGGATTAAACCATGGACTAAAGTTAGTCCACTTTAAAGAATACCACCCAAAGTCTTCAGGGGAAAAAAAAAAAAATATTTTTCGCGGGCTACAAGTTTTTCAAGCTTGCCTGCCTGAAATTAACATTCTAAAATTTGTTTTGCATCGAACTCTATGTAGATTGATGGGGGCTCTTTTCTGTTTTTCGGGGGCTCTTTTTGGCATTTTGGGGGCTATTTCGCCCCCAAGCCCCCATGTATTTCTTTCACTGCCCAAAGAGGTTACAATTTAGTTTTTTTGTTTACTTTGCTCTGATGCAGATTGTGAAGCATGGCTCATACCAGGCCCAGGAAAGAAGGTCTTGTCTTCTTGAGAGCCCGTTTCTTCCCAGTTTTCTTGCTTAATGTAATGGATCTGATGACCAGCATTCTCCCACTGCACCGAATAATACGTGGCTTCATCTTCCAGGAGCTTGTCATCCTCTCCTGTAGTGCCTACGGGTGAAGACAAAAAAGGACGTACATGTATATAAATAAATACATGTACTTAAAACATTATTGTGTTAAAGAAGAAGACCATGAGAGAAAGAGGCGGAAAGGAGGATTAGAAGGGGAAGGAGTGAAAGGAGAAAGAGAAGAACAAGGAGGAGAAAAAGAGAGAAAGAGACGAAGGAGAAAGGGAAGGAAAAGTAGTCGAAGCAGAAAGAGAAGAACAAGGAGGAGAAGAAGAAGAGAGAAAGTGACGGGAAGGAGGATGGGAAGGAGGAGTCAAACGAGAAAGAGGAGAAAGAGGAGAAGAAGAGAGAAAGTCAGGAAGGAGGATGGGATGGAAAAGTAGTGAAAGGAGACAGATTAGAATGAGAATGCGGCAGCAGGAAGGCCTTAGGTTAGTAGGGCAAAGCCAGAGGAATTTTTGTTCTCACTTTTTGAAGTTTTCTACCTTGAAATAAGCCCACTGGTCATCCAGTGGCAGTGTGCGAACACACACACTGCACTGACACTTGCGTTTACGCGTGTAACTGTAATCGCCCTAGGCCTAGGCATTGCACGCAATGAATCGCTACGAGTACGAACGCGTACACAAGGTAAAAAGAGAACTGTGGCTTATTTCATGAGAATGCCTGGACTTATAATACTCACTCTCTCTGGTAGTCATTTTGCTTCTATATCTAAATATCGTCGAAGAGGTGTTGTTTAACTTCTGTACTCCATTCAAAATTAAAACAGTTGTAGACCGTAAAGCAGCAGCACTTTACAGATTCAAGTAAGAAACAAAATAATAACTTAACGGTGTCTTTGAATAAGCAAAATGATTTTGGAAAAAAAAAATCACCTAACTAAAATTTAGTAAGAAAGAAAGAGAGAGAAAGAGAGAGAGAGAGAGAGAGAGAAACAAAAGAGAGAAGAATGAAAACGAATTTAAAAAACACAAACAAAGGAAGAAATAAAGGAAGGGAAATAACAATTAAAGCAATACAAATGCTAATGGTTATCAAGTGAGACATTGGCGACACAACCCTCTTTTTAGTAGATCTTGGCAGAATTTTTGTTTGAGGATAGTTCAATAGTAGATGCATGTAATTAAAGCTTGTAATACAATGTAAAGCGCATAGAGACATACCTTGTATAATGCGCTATAGAAATATAATTTATTATTATTATTATTTGAAAGCCAAGAGGTATATCTCTTGGCTTTCAAATAATAATAATAATAAATTATGTATAATACATCTTCAGGATATCGTAAAACTATCCTGAAAAAGTGACCCCCCCCCCCCTCTTGTAGGCCTATTATTTCCATAAACATGTATTTTGTTCGTCAACTCATGGACTTAATACGTAATAGGTCCATGGTCAACTAAGGACATTTTCTCATAGTTGACGAATAAAATAAATCAACCAATCACACATATAGAATTACACTGTTGCACAAAAGGCGTCACTTGCCTGGCATCGGACTGCGTCAGCCAGGGGCGGTGTAGCCTGTTCCAAAGTGTGGGGGGGGGGGTGGACACAAACCATAAGAAGGAGACCCCCGCACCCCAAAAAGAGAAACCTCAAATCAATGCGAAAATATACACATTTTAGACATTGGCACTATATACCCCGAAATTATCATGATTGTGAATACATGATCAGGGGGGTTTAACCCCACCCCCCCCCCCCCCCTGCGTACGCGCCTGCTGACAGGTGGTTATCATCAACTCAGCTCTCAATTAACATAAGAAAAAAGTAATCACGGGGGACCAATTACGGGCACCGCTAAGGTATTGTCTTCTATATAGAGGGAGCAAGCAGCTACAAATGGTGCAATGGGGCTTTAAAAGACGGCCCCTGAATTCGAAATCACTGCTTCACTTCGGAAATCAGGCGCGATTCTTGAAGAAAATCTTTAGGGGGCTGTGGGCTTAACATTTTGAAACACCAACATGTTTCCAATAGGATCTGCTTCCCATAAAAAAAAGATCAACATTTTGGAACAACTGCGGCTCCTCGCCGACATTCTCTCTTCATTCATTTTGGCCCGAATTCACAAAGCAAGGTTTGAGCTCAGACCAAGGTTTGAGCTCAAACCTCCTTTTGTTTCGCCAAACCTCCTTTTGTTCTTTACAAACCAGGTTTGAAAAAAATGCGTAAAACGCGTCATATGACGTACGAAATTTGGTCTGAGCTCAAACCTCCTTTGTGAATTCGGGCCTTTATGTTCAATTCCCGATATCTGTTTTGATATGCATTCTACTGCCCCCCCCCCCCTCCCTCCCCACCCACTGTCATAACTTCCTGTAATTTTGCAATGTATTTGAGATACATGTAGTTAAAAGAAGATTACAAATTTTGTTGAATATGGAAATTTTGGCTTATAAATCTATCTTGACAACTGTTCTAATTAAAAGGTATTTTAATGTAAATTAATTTATTGGATTTTTCGTATGTGTGTGTGTATGCACTGTATATATACAGTGCGTCCCAGAAAAAAAACGAAACCGAGAACTAGCATGGCTGATCGTCAACGAAACGGATTTAAGTCTTTTGTCAACTCCGTTTGATGCTACGGCAGGCAGCCAGTGAAAACGAACTCGTTTGATCAAATTATGGAAATGCAATCATTACTTTAAACAAACTGAACTTTGTTATTCCTAGCTCATTTTTCCTGATTGAGGTGTCATATGAAAGGCCAGAAATTGAACTTTCTAGAAATGTGATTTTCTCTTTAAAATTCAGATATCGCCCGCCAAATGATGTTTTGGTTTCCTCTCTTCAAATTGTTTTGAATCACTCGTGCGTGAAATATGCACTTTATGAGTTGCATCAAATGAAAGAGGGGGATCTATAAGCTTTACACATTATGTGTCATTTATTAATCCTAATTGTGATTAAGCTATGATAAAAATTCTCGGTTTCGTTTTTCGTTTTGATCATAATTTTTTTCTCGTATTTGACCTAAAAAATGTGAAAATCGTGCCGACCAAAATCTCGCTCAGTGGGGGGGAGGGGGGGGGGGGGGGGGGTAGTGGAGCATCACTTTTTTTTTTGGTATATGACCCCGAAAATGTGAAAATCGAGCCTTTCGATATCTCGCTCAGTGGGGGGGGGGGGGGGGGGGTAGTATGCATAATTTTGTTTGCGTATTTGACCCCAAGGGGGGAGGGGGGCCGGGCCCGTCGGCCCCCCCCCCCCCCCCCGTGGATCCGCGCCTGTCGGAGAACATAAAAGGAAAAGAAAATGAAGGGGTTAATTATAGAGAGTGAAATGTAATGAAGCAACCAAGGAAGAAGAAAAATAGAAGAAGAAGAATAATATAATCTACTTAAAGAGAAGGCAAAGATAACTGAACATGTAAGTCTTCTTTTTATAGACCATAAAAAAATGTCTCTCTCTCTTTCTTACTGAATTCCTCTCTTTGTTTCTTTTTTGTTTCTTTCTCTATTTCAGTTTGAAGTCAGGTGTTATTTTTTCCAAAATCATTTTGCTTATTCAATTCAAAGACACCGTTAAGTTATTTTTTTCTTCTCTTTCTCACTTGAATCGAATCGAGAGTGGAGTGCAGCTGCTTTACGAGTAATTGCCTAGTTTTGGACGGAATGCAGAAGTTAAGCAAAACCTCTACGAAGATATTCAAAGAAGGGCAATGACGACTAGAGAGTGTGAGTATTATTGGTCCAGGTATTCTCGTGAAATAAGCCACAGGAGATCGATCTAGCTAGGCCCACTGCTCATTCTCTGTTGACCTGTGTGTGCGCGTACGTACGAACATTGCGTGCAATGCCTATGCTATGTGAGATGCTATAGATCCCACCTCAGCTCCCGATAGACTTTACAGTTAAGTGCCCATTTTCCTTGCAAAAAGTGTCCATTTTCCATTCTCACATTAAATGCCCTTCTTAATCTCTACAGTAAGTGCTCCTTTTCAGGTGCGAGAAGTGCCCTTTTTCACTTATGATAAGTGCCCCCTTCACCTTTTTATAATTGCCCTTTTCAAATCTTAGAGGTGCCTCTTCTTTGACAAGGCCCTTTTTTCCTTTGTAAGAGGTGCCCCTTCCCCTTTAATGACTACCCCCATTTTAACTTGGATAAGCGCTCCATATATTTTCACATGTGCCCCTTTACCTTTCTAATAAGTGCCCCGTTTCCTAATACAAAGTGCCCCTTCCCCTTCTCATAAATGCCCCTTTTCATCTCCGGTAAATGACCCTTTTCAGGTACGAGAAGTTAATCCTTTTCACTTCAGATAAGTGCCCGCTTCACCTTTGATAAATGCCCCTTTATCATCTGATCGGAGCCCATTTTCTTTCAACAAATGCACATTTTCCTTTATTATAAGTGCCCCTTTTTCATTCACATAAGTGCCCCTTTTCATATCTGGTCGTTGCCCATTTTTAGGTGCGATAAGTGCCTCTTTTCACCTCTGATAATTTCCCTTTTAACAATGATACGTGCCCCTTTTCCTTTCTAATAAGGGGCCTATCCCCTTTTCATAAATGCCCCTATCAAAATTTGATGGGGGCCCCTTTTCCGTCGACAAATGCCCATTTCTATTCTCCTGAATGACTTTTTTCATCCCTTGTGAGTGCCTCTTTTTGAAGTTGTAAGAAGTGCCCTATTTTTCACCTCTGATAATTACTCTTTATACTTTGACACATGCTCCTTTTCTTTTTTGATAAGTGCCCCCTTTTCCTCTCATCATTAAATGCGCCCCTAATTTCAAGCGACTAAGAGCAATGCCCCCCCAAAACTTGTTTGCTACGCTCGCACGCATTTATAGATGATATACTTATGTTACTTATCAAAGGTCTTTTCTTTGCTTATAACCCCATGAGGATTGGGTTTTTCCCTCTTTATAAGTTGTAATTTTTCTAACAAATCTTAAACTTTTCCTCGCTCGCTCGCAAATAAATTTACAAACCATCACACCCAGTTGCAAAGTGTGATGCTTAAGCAATATTTTGTATGGTGTATAAAGTGAAACAAATATTGAAATCATCCCTGATAATGTAATCACAATGTAGGGGTATATACCAATGTCTATATACCCCAATATACCAATGTTCCAGAAAGTGCCCTGTTTTCTTGATGCCCCCCCACTTTGGAAGTTGCTCGGCCGCTCCTGTGCGCATACGTTCATGTGATCTAAGCGAATTGCAGCCTCATTTTCCTAAATTGGCGCCTACAAGGGCTCTTCTTGTGTGAAGTTATCTACCGTAATGATCATGGGGATCTGAGACATTACGATAGATATTAACTTCACACAGGTGCGCGCTAATATGTTTAGGAAATTTAATTCCTGTTTACTCTCCTTTTCTTTGAAATGATTATAATTTGTATGTAATTCAATTCATGTTTTAATATTTTTGGCTCATACTGCAACCATAATTATAAACCTTTAGGTCAGTCAGGAATCCCATGACTTTCACAATCCAAACGCCTGTCTGATTATCAAGATACTTTACGAACGACTTGAATATGAAAAGCCAAATGGGATACTCAATCATTTTAACTGCATCAACTAAAGTTGAACTGTGCAGATGCAGATTAACATTCTTATTATAACAAACATTTTTAATGCAAAGTACAGTTTTTGCCATAATTTAATCGAGGTGATTGGAATAATATCTATCCAGACTGGAAAGATATCGGGTAGTCCCATATAAAAATTTGATGGGGGCCCCTTTTCCGTCGACAAATGCCCATTTCTATTCTCCTGAATGACTTTTTTCATCCCTTGTGAGTGCCTCTTTTTGAAGTTGTAAGAAGTGCCCTATTTTTCACCTCTGATAATTACTCTTTATACTTTGACACATGCTCCTTTTCTTTTTTGATAAGTGCCCCCTTTTCCTCTCATCATTAAATGCGCCCCTAATTTCAAGCGACTAAGAGCAATGCCCCCCCAAAACTTGGGGAAAAAGCGAATCTAAGCGAATTGCAGCCTCATTTTCCTAAATTGGCGCCTACAAGGGCTCTTCTTGTGTGAAGTTATCTACCGTAATGATCATGGGGATCTGAGACATTACGATAGATATTAACTTCACACAGGTGCGCGCTAATATGTTTAGGAAATTTAATTCCTGTTTACTCTCCTTTTCTTTGAAATGATTATAATTTGTATGTAATTCAATTCATGTTTTAATATTTTTGGCTCATACTGCAACCATAATTATAAACCTTTAGGTCAGTCAGGAATCCCATGACTTTCACAATCCAAACGCCTGTCTGATTATCAAGATACTTTACGAACGACTTGAATATGAAAAGCCAAATGGGATACTCAATCATTTTAACTGCATCAACTAAAGTTGAACTGTGCAGATGCAGATTAACATTCTTATTATAACAAACATTTTTAATGCAAAGTACAGTTTTTGCCATAATTTAATCGAGGTGATTGGAATAATATCTATCCAGACTGGAAAGATATCGGGTAGTCCCATATACATCTTACAGTGCTTGTAACTTTACCAAGACTGGGCCAAATTTCTTATCATTTTGATGATTCCAGAACCTTGCAGTGCACACCAATACTTATATGCTAGATGATCAACCTTTTCTGATCGATTCTACACCGTTTCTTTCACAATGCAATCGCATGACCAGAACTGGTCTTTACCTTTAAAGTAATTGTAATTATTGATATGCGTCCTTTTTTGTCTTCACCCGTAGGCACTACAGGAGAGCATCAAACGCTCCTGGAAGATGAAGACAGGTATCATTCGGTGCAGTGGGAGGATGCTGGTCATCAGATCAAGTGCATGAAGCAAGAAGACTGGGAAGAAACAGGCTCTCAAGAAGACAAGAACTTATTTCCTGGGCCTGGTATGAGCCATGCTTCACAATCTGCAATAGAGCAAAGTAAACAAAAAAACTAAATTGTAACCTCTTTGGGTGGTATTCTTCAAAGCGAACTAACTTTAGTACGTAGTTTAATCCCTGACTGAGTATGGAATGCCAAGTGTCCATATGAAGATGTTTTTGAACAATTTAATCTGTCACTAAATTAAAATGAAATGTAATAACATAACTAATAAACAACAATATAACTAGTATGATATAATTATGTTGTCATGGTAATTTAGCGGCATATCAAATTTTTCAAAAATATATTCATATGGACACTTGGCATTCCATGCTTAGTCGGTGGATTAAACCATAGACTAAAGTTAGTACGCTTTCAAGAATACCACCCTTTGTATTTTACCCCATATCCAATAACACCCTTTAAATCCAATAAGAGCTATAGCCATTATGGTTCATAGAGAGAGATAGTTTCATTACTAGAGGTCATTTGGTTCCTTCTGTGATTTTGAACCTGTTTGTTGACAACTAGATTGTTTGAAATAAGATCACAAATGGTCACATTTTGTTCTTACTCAGACTCTTATGACAGTGGGAACTTTGACCTTTAACCCCAGAATTTAAGGACTTCATTCTTTCAGGCTTACTGTAAATTTGGTACAAATTGTCTCATTGGTTCTTCAGGTTTCGTTGTAATGAAATGTTTACTGAGATGCAATTGTGCACTCTTGTGACCTTAGACTTTTCATCTATTAAACCTCAAGTGAAATCATTTCATACTTGTTTGCTTATAAATATTAAATTTGAGCCAAGCTTGGTTGAATCTGCCTCAGCAATTTGCAGGTGATCATTGTGAATAGATGGATACAGAAATTTGATTCTTTAAAGCCTGTATGTACTACAGTAGTTTGGCCAGGGGGATTAGACCTCCCTGCAAAGTCACTGACAGGTGGTTATCTCATCAAATCAGCTCTCAATTACCAACAGATAAAGAGGATCATGGTGGACCAACAGGCACCGATTAGGCATTGTTTGCTACATAGAGGGCGCAAGTAGCTATAAGTAGTGCAGTAGGGCCTTTAACACATAGAAACACTGATCAATAATTAACAATCAATTCATTACTTTTCTGTGACAGATGTCATCAGTAGTTTGGACACTCCAGTGCTCACACTCGAATGTCAGGAACAGGCACGATTAGGCTCTTTGACTGAGGAGGGTGGTTATTCTAACATCAGTAGTTTGAACACTCCACTGCTCGCCCTCGAATGTCAGGAACAGGCACAAGAAGGCTCTTTGACTGAGGAGGGTGGTTATTCTAACACCACCAACCCTGCAGAAGCTCGATGTGAAGTCTCGGTCGACCGTCCTCCAAGAACCACCAGAGCCACTGAAGAACATGGTGAAGATCATCGTGAAGCAACGACTGAACGTACAGAAGATATCCAGAAGCCGTTTCCATGCCCCGAGTGCCATAAAAGGTACATTCGTAAACATGACCTAAAATTGCACATGAAGTACCACACTGGGGAGGATCTTCACCCGTGTGAGGAGTGTGAGAAGAAGTTTCATTCCAAGTGTGTCCTCAGGAAGCACATGAAATTACACACAGGCGAAAAGCCCCATGTTTGTTCAGTGTGTAGCTTCGGGTTCTTGAGAAAGAGTACCCTCACAGTACACATGCGAAGGCACAATGATGAGAAGCCATTTCAGTGCCGTCAATGTCCGAAGAGATTTATCGTAAACAATGAGCTTACAAGCCATGTGAAGCACAAGCATGGTGGGGTAGGGGAGCACAAGTGTGGTTATTGTAGTAAGAGGTTCTTTTCAAGAAGTGACCTCATTATACATGAAAGAACACACACCAACGAAAGGCCGTTTCAATGTTCGGAGTGTGGTAAAAAGTTTCGTTCAAAGAGTTGCCTTACTGTACATAGGCGATTGCATAAAGGAGAGATGCTTAAAGGAGAGATGCAGAAAGGAGAGATGCGTACAGGAGAGATGCTTAAAGGAGAGAAACATCAGTGTCCCGTCTGTAATAAGACATTCAGTCAGAAGTGTTACGTCAGTGTGCACATGAGAATCCACAATGGAAAGCCGCATAGGTTCCCTCACTTCCTCAGGGGGTTACTCACCAAGTCTGATCTTGCGCAACAGGTTCGAGCGCAAAGAGGCGAAGAAACGTTTTCGTGCACCAAGTTACTCACCAAGTCCGATCTCGCGCAACAGGTTCAAGCGCAAAGTGGGGAAGAAACGTTTTCGTGTACCAAGTGTCCTGAGAAATATTACAAAAAATCAGAGCTCTCAAAACATTTCCTGTATCACCAGACGAAAAAGCTTCGGTGTGGTAAGTGTGATGAGGTATTCACGTCAGAGGCTCGTTTTGCGCAGCACATGAGGAGTCATACAGAAAAGTTTATGTGTGGTACGTGTGATAAGGTTTTCACGTCAAAGGGTCGTCTTGCCCAGCACATAAGGGGCCATACAGAAAAGAAGTCTCACTTGTGTGCTGTATGTAATGAAAGTTTTAAGACGAAGGCCATCCTTTTGCAACACAAACAAACGCATACCAGAGAAAAACGGTTTGCGTGTCCGGAATGTGGTAAGAAATTTCCAAAGAGGGCAAGGCTGGCTGTTCACATGAGGACTCACACTGGTGAAAAGAATTATAAATGCTCACAATGCGACAAAGCATTTAGCATAGCCGGTAACCTTGAGAGACATAAGCTTACAGTACATACCGGTGTCAAGGCTTTTTCTTGTTCCTTGTGTGATGTCAAGTTCACTGCTAAATGGAGTTGCGATGCCCACATCGTGAAATTCCACCCCGAAAAATGTCTGTATGAGTGTTCCGAATGCAGTCGGAAATTCCTCACAAAGGGTTCCCTCGAGGATCACATTTTGAGAGTACATGGTGAAGACACTGATCCACACAAATGCAAAAGGTGTGATGAGAAATTTGCTACAATGGGCAGTCTACGTGAACACGCTTTGAGAATACACCCGAAAAGGCCGAATGTTGAGCGTAACCAGTGCTCCGATTGTGATAAAACCTATTCTTCAAAGCAAGGTCTTCTTGCTCATAGATGGATGATCCACTCAGAGGGAAAGTTACCTGAGTGTGGGGAATGTGGAAAGCGATTTAAGTCGAAAGCTTCCCTGCGGTACCACCAAAGAGTCCACAGGGGTGAAAAGCCTTTCCATTGTCCCGAGTGTGATGCGAGGTTCCATCTGAAGAACATCCTCAATAACCACATGAAGATCCACTCGCTGGAGAAACCTCACCACTGCCCCGACTGCAGCATGAGATTCAACTCTGGGCATAACCTTGCAAGGCATCGTAAGAAACACACAGGTGAGAAGTCCTTTCAGTGTTCCATTTGTGGCAGAATGCTGGGAAGGAAGCAGGCTCTTAATGAACACATGATGACGCACACCGGGGAGCGACCGTTCTGGTGCCAACATTGCGATAAAGGTTTTGTTTCAAAGACGGAACTTAGGAGGCATTTAACGAAACAAGCGAGTGCACAGCCACATCCGTGTCCTAAATGTACAGAGACCTTTCCTTATAAGTGCAGCCTTAAGAATCATATAAAAATGATGCATTGACGAAATCTATTCCAGATTGGAACCAGTTTTGGTGCCAACATTGCGATAAAGGTTTTGTCTCAAAGACGGAACTTAGGAGGCATTTAACGAGACAAGCCAGTGCACAGCCGCATCAGTGTCCCAAACGTACAGAGAGATTTCCTTGCAAGTGCAGTCTTAAGAATCATATGAAAGGGATGCATTGACGGAATCTAGTCCAGATTTGAACCAGGGGGTGTTTCACAAAGATCCCAAGTTGGACTTAACAATTATGGAAAGCTGTTAGCATGTTTGAAAATATTTTGTAAAAGTTATTTTAGAAGGCATATAACGTTGAATCGTACTTTCTATTGTCAAGGAGATTTCATGTTCTTGATGTGGAATTTATGAAAAGTCTAAAATACTTGAGTTTTTGTTTTTGAATATATTTCATTCTAAGGCTACGAATGGCTGTCCATGAATTTTAAGTCCAACTTAGAGTTAAGTTCGACTTGGGGCCTTTGTGAAACACCCCCAGGGGCTTGTTTCATGAAGCCGTCATAAGTACAAGATCAATTTCATCCCAATGCTTTTGTTCGACTTGTCTGCTGAGTGTTTCACAAAACTGTTTTTGCAACTTCCCTTCAACAGACTTGTTGCGACTCCAAACCTGTCATATCTTTTTAGAACGCCATCTGATCTCAAGGCAACTTTAAGCTGGTCTATGGGCAGCAAAGAAAATGAAAACTGGAAATTTATTTTCACAATTACTTCTTGATCTTCAAGCTCTCATTTCGCCGATCAGTTCTTTTGGGTGTTAACCAGTTGACATCTAAATTCTCTCATTGCCATAGACTTAATACGGGAGTTATCCGGTTCCCGTTGGCAATGTGTTAATATAAAAGCATTATATTCTTATAAAGTGTTAATGCCTTGTAAATATAATAAACATTATTTGTAGAAGTATGTACATCGGTCTACCATAGAAAAGTTACCAAAGATCGAACAGTCTGTATTTCCAGACCCATGAGATTGAGGACCATTTTTTGTTTAGGCATTTCTCTAGACAGTTTACTTATATCAAGCATAAACTCAATACAAATCATGTCACAGTATTATTGGAAAAATATAAAAGCTGTGAGCCATAAAATATCTTTTTTTCATTATGTTCTTAACTAAAAAATTTAATCAGGGTCTTCTTTAGATTAGAAATGAGTTATGGTATCCTCTTACTTGCAATATTGTATTCGCTCGTCGCCAAAGTTACCTCAAGTTTTGCCATTTTTTATAAATTCTTAGATGTTAAATTAGGAAGGTAGGATTTAGGAACACATGTTTTCATGCAAACTACAGTGTGTAGGTGTTTGTATCATTTTGTGCTACCATTCTTTTACATTTTTACTTTTTGAAATATACTCAGATTCATTTGAATATACATGCATGTAACTCAGGGATTATATATTTCATTGTTATCTGTTAATATAATCTGGAAATTAAAGATAAAGACCAGTTCTGGTCATACGATTGCATTGTGAAAGAAATGTCGTGGAATCGATCAGAAAAGGTTGATCATTTAGCATAAAAGTATTGGTGTGTACTGCAAGGTTCTGGAGTCATCAAAATGATAAGAACTTTGGCCCAGTCTTGGTAAAGTTACAAGCACTGTACACAGAAAGATGTGTATGGGACTACGCGACATGTGCGCGATATATATCAATTAGTAGGCGGTTTCACGGCAAAATTAATAATGATCAGTTTTTACTCAAACTATCAGTTTATTATTTCATCAGGTTATATTATCTTAAATGGTACCAATAGCATTTGAAACGACTACCTTAGCACCATTTTCTCCCATCTAAACAATGTTACCAAGTCACTTTAATAAATATCACTGTCTAAATTGTCAAAATATAATAAATTGGAGACTTTAGGAGCTTGTCATTGTTTTCGACCAACTATTTTTTATCGTAAAGTAATTTGTTCGGAGTAAAACAAAAAATATGTATACCTGTATATATATATTTTGATCATTAATATGAAGGTACCTACCGTCTTTTGTAGTCGGGGAGTTTTGTTCCCCTTTTTTGTAACTTCAAATGTACAAGGTTTATATGTATGTATATTGCAATAAAAACATGTTTAGAATATAATTGCTTTACGGTGAATGTTTGTCTCCATATGAGCAGACTGTTTGTGCGTCAGGAACAGAGTTATGGTACCAGGGGTGTTTCACAAAGACCCTAAGTCGAACTTATGGAGAGCCATTTGTAGCCTTAAAATAACATATATTCAAAAGCAAAAATTCTAGTATTTGGATTTTTCAAAAAAATTCCTCATCAAGAACATGAAATCTCCTTGATTATAGAAAATATGACAGATTTGAAATAACTTTTACAAAATATTTTCAAAGATGCTAACGGCTTTCCATAGTTGTTAAGTTCAACTTAGGATCTTTGTGAAACACCCTGCCCCCATACGCAGAAAAGGAAGATCGCAAGTATTGGCACTGGAAATTAGAAGAAAGTAGAGCGATGTAGGCCTACTCGCAACAATCGAGTGAGAAGTTGAAGGGAAGTGTCGAGTTGGTAGACGTCACGTCCTGGGGGTGTTTCACAAATATGCTAAGTCGAACTTAACTCTAAGTCGAACCTAACTCTAAGTTGGACTCAAAGGAAAAATTCAAGTATTTTAGATTTTTCAGAAATTCCTCATCAAGAACATAAAATCTCCTTGGTAATAGAAAATATGAATGATTTGAATCAACATTGTATGCCTTTTAAAATAACTTTTACAAAATATTTTTCAAAGATGCTAACGGCTTTCCATAGTTGTTAAGTTCAACTTAGGATCTATGTGAAACACCCCAGACGAAGAAAACGGAAGATCGCAAAGTATATTGGAACTGGAAAAGTAGAGAGAAGAGTGACGTACTAGCAATTATAGAGTGAGAAGTTGAAGGGAAGTGTCGAGTTATTAGACGTCCTGGGTGCGAGTTTCTCGAAACCGTAATAAGTCTAACTTCTTGGACATTCCACTGACATGTGTGTTGTAGAATTAACACGCGCTTCTATGATGGGACGCAGTGGCGGATCCAGGGGGGGGGGGGGGGGGGGCAGGCCCCCCTCCCCTGGGAAAGAATGGTATGCAAAACAATGTTTACGTAAAATAAATGACATCGCAAGAAAATCGGGAGGCTATGGTTCCCAGGAAAGTTACATCCATACATTTGAATATGTTCGTAAGCCGATCTGATTGGAAAAAATATAATCATTAATCTGTATCTTAGGTCTCTTGTAATGGCTCATAGAAATATCCCGTCATTTTTATTATTATTATTTTCTTCATGTGTTTTTTTTAAACAATCTTATCACGATGTTTACAAGTAATTATAAATAGATTACAAAAAAGCAGTACAACGTAGATCAAAACCTCACAAAAAGTAAATTTACACTAAGATGCAGGCAATTACATGCACATATGTACCTTCTTCCAAAATATAAAATAAACTTCCATTATTTTTAAGTGCAAGGGCAACTTGTTTTCTTTTTTGCAATACGATATTCAAGATCTTTAGTATAGTCAATGTAAGTTCTGAAACCCTGGAAATTGGGTATTTTACTTTGAACTTTGCATTAATAAATGTAGTATTGATGCATAAGAACTAAATAGGTAAAAAAAAAAATCTCCTTTTCACAGCTAAATCTGGTCATTGTTATTATTTTACAAATATATCTTTAATGGTTTTCACTTCCGGACGAAGGAGTACCATTCTCCAACAATTTTATTAATAAACTCGATGAGCTATTAATGTCACAAATAGGAGGAGACACAGGTATCAATTCCCATAATACTTTTAAAATCATTTTTTGAAAACAGTGAATGTTATAATAATCGATACAAGGTGAACAGAAATGAAATTAAATAGAACGGTTATCTTTTAAAATTCACAAATGTTTAACATTTGAGTTGAGTATGTTAACAACTTATTCGTGTATTTCTATTTTACCTGTAATCCTAAGATATTAGAAAATAATGATATACATTTTTAACAGATAATTATGTATTACAATGTCACTTATGCAAAGAATCTATGGTATCAAGTTTATCTATACTTAATAAAATTAACAGTGAATCTTTTAATAATCAATACAAGGTCAATAGAAATTAAGTTAAATACAACGGTTATCTTTTATAATTTACAATTTTTTAAAACAAATTGTGTAAAGTATGTTAACAATTTATTTCTGTATTTCTATTTTACTTGTAATCCTAAGATAATAGACACTAACAATATACATTTTTAACAGCTATATGTATTGATCGATTACAATCTTTCTTGGGGGATTAGTGGCTTAATTTATTTGCGGTTCTGTCGGATAAATGATTAATTTCCCCTACATTTCTCATCATATCATAATTATCTACATTAAAGATTGAGAACTTTCTCATTCCTTGTATGTCAGCAGAAGGCAAAAAATGCTCCTATTAAGGCCAAATAACAAAAATACGTGTTTCTTGTCCGGAAGAGGCGGGGCGTTACTACATGATTTACTATTTTGCAATTTTTTCCAAGATGGCTGCCTTGCTAATTATAGCTGGTCAAGCCTAAGTTATTCACATATATTGTGCTATGTGAGTATACTGATGCAATTTATGACAAAACAAATGATTTGTATCACTTTAGAAGCTATTTAATCAAAATGTGTATATATGTTATATATACACCTCTAAAATGCTCTAATAATATCAGCTTAAGAAATTACTGTGATGTTCTCATGTAAGAATTCCTGCAATAAAAGAAGTAACAAGTAAAACTGATATTATTAGAGCCTTTTAGAGGTGTATATAGATATATAATAAATTATCAACCGTAAAATCTTTAGAAATGAGTCCCTATATAGTGGCTTCGGTGACGAGAAAGGCCTATATCCTTGATTGATAGAGTAATTGTAACTTAGTGCTAAGTAACAGCTTTTCACAGCAATTTGATAAGTTGATCTGTAATACATTTGCTAAAGGTAGAGGCCAAAGAAGGCCAAAGAAGGCCAAGAAGTTACCGGCTGGTAACTTCTTGTATAGGCAAGGCGTTGTGTGTACGTGTGTGAAGCCTAGAGCTTCGCACTGTTCGGATTTCGCATCTTTAGCACACATGAA